TCCGTAACCGTAGTTAGGAACTATACAATAAACACTACAATACAAAAATAATAAGAATATTAATTTCCTTTTTCCGCACATGCTAGCAGTAAATCTTATCCTAAAACAGAAAGACCTTGTCCTAGCCCTAGGTATTTTGTATAGAACGTGGAATAAGCGGCAAGTACACTTTAAGGCGATACTGAAACAAACGAATAGGCAATGTGTATTGTAAATTGAAACTAAGTATAGGTGAAATAAATACAATACCGAAAAAGACTCCGCCTACCAAACCAGCTTTGCAATACTGTAAACAAATAAAAGATATCTGTGTTGCAAGGAGTTGTTAATGGACAATCATCGGACACTTGTTATACAGTGAGGTTAACAGATAAAATAAGGTAAACAGATGAAATACACATACTAAAATAAATAATTTATATTTTGGAAAATTAATATTGTATGCGAGCTCAGTCTATTACGTTTTTGGTCTATTTCATCTCCGAAATATAATCTGATCATCATCGACAATTATAGGCGTCGTCCCACATTTTCGTCCCCTGGTGTGGTAATGGTAACACTAAACAATACGAGGTGAATACGTATTGTTTTTCACACAATCCATTTGACCCGCTAAATAGGACCGATCTTCATCAAGACTGTTATTCTTTAACTATGGCCAGATTGCCTTCCCAATGTAAAATTTCGTGATGATCGGGCCATAATTGACCAGAAAAAAACAGAAAAAAAATTATTTTTTTGGCCCATTTCATGCCCTAAATATTAACTAAAATATGGGTCTTCTTTGGCCAGAACCCACATTACATGAAAAATTTTGTGACGATTGGTCCATAACTGTGGCCTGTATCTTGTGATTATAAAAATTAACTCTATTCTGAAGACATTCCACAATATTGGCCCCGCGGCCTTTATCTCACGAATAAATTTTGTCTTCTAAGGCGTCTATTGAAGTGAGTTTGACATAGCCCCACAAAAAGTTTAAAGGCGTATTTTGGGCAGTTACGAATCGCTGCATCTTTAAAGAATTACGGTCCAATGATGATAAGGGCATATAAACTACAAAAGAAACATATTTTTAAACTAAGGTTCCAAAAAATAAAAAATATAAGGAAAGTAGTAAAGTCGGACGGGGCCGACTATATTATACCCTTCACCACTATGGGTATATTAAATAGGACTATTAACATGAAATTGGAAGAAATAAAATATGCGATATTTATCTAAATGTGAATCTAGCAGATATATTCATAAAGTATGTAAATCGACTTCTAACAAATATAAATAGGTCATGCGTTTATGTCTTTACTTCTAGAAAACGCAACTACGTAATTCTATGCTCAATTTTGTACGTTGTGCAAAATTTGATGTCAATCTGTCTATGTCTGTACTTCTAGAAAACGCAACTACGTAATTCTATGCTCAATTTTGTACGTTGTGCAAAATTTGATGTCAATCTGACTAACACGAAGAGTATGATGCCCAATTTACTTGAAATCGGGCGAAAATATATATGGAAACTCTATCCAAATATTAAGCGATTTCAAACAAACTTGTCACAGGTTAGGTTGTACTAATTTCAGAACGTTTTGTTGCTATTGGTTCCTTGGTGCGTCAATTACTTAAAATCAATCTATAATAAAAGGGAGCTATATGTAAATCTGGACAGATTTTCACGAAACAAGGCAGACATCACTCTAGGCTCAATTCAGTACGTTATGCCAAATTTCGTGCAAATCGGAAGATATATAGTGACTTTGGTGCACCATTTACATGAAATCGGACGAACTATGTAGAAATCTGGACCGATTTTCTCGAAACTTGGCAGACATCACTCTATTCTCAATTCAGTACGTTATGCCAAGTTTCGTGCAAATCGAAGGATATATAGGGACTTTGGTGCACCATTTACATGAAATCGGACGAAACTATATATGGGAGCTATATCTAAATCTGGACCGATTTTCTCGAAACTGGGCAGACATCATTCTAGGCTCAGTTCAGTACGTTATGCCAAATTTCCTGCAAATCGAAAGATATATAGAGGACTTTGGGGCAACATTTACATGAAATCTGACGACACTATATATGGGAGCTATATCTGAATCTGGACCGATTTTCTCGAAACTTGGCACATATCACTCCAGGCTTAATTCAGTAGGTTGTGCCAAATTTCGTGCAAATCAAAAGATATATAGAGACTTTGGGGCACCATTTACATGAAATCGGACGAAAATGTATAGCTATATCTAAATCTGGACCGATTTTCACGAAACTTGGCAGACATCATTCTAGACCTAAATGATTAGGCTGTACCAAATTTCGTGCAAATCGAAAGTTATATAGGGACCGTTTACATTAAATCGGTTAAATATATTTATGGGAGCTATATCTAAATCTGAACCGATTTTTCCCAATTTCAATAGGGTTCGTCCTTGGGCCGAATAAGTGACCTATGCCAAATTTCATCCAATTCGGATCATAAATGCGACCTGTAGTTTGTTTACAATTTAACATGGACAGACAGACGGACGGACGCACATGCATAAATCGACTCAGAAAGTGATTCTATACATATTCTCAAAAGGAACCATGGGTCTATCTCGATTCCTTTTGCCTGTTACAAACATATGCACGAAGATATAATACCCTCTACCACAGTGTGGTGAAGGGTATAAAAATCAAAATCACTTACCCTTATCACAATTTTTTTATATAACAAGTAACCACGTCGTTAAGTTGCATTATATTAAGAATACTTAAAAACGTTCAGTTCATTTATATAGGGTCTATGGATCTTTAAGGGGAGGATCTTTATGTTACACCAACTCAGATTGGAAAATAAAATTGTTTAACTACCGAAAATGGTTTCATGTTTTTCATGAACACAGAATGTCCAATGACAGTCCCTTCGTTTCGTTTGGTTTATTCGCTTATGACCTAAAATCATAATATGCGGGCTATGAAAAGCATCGCCATATATTAACCTGTAAGGAAAGTAGTAATGTTTGACGGGTCTGACTATATGATACCCTTCACCAATTTGGGTATATTCAACAGATGTATTCTAACAGACATCGCATTTTCGAAGGACCATTGACATAAAATTAGATGAACTAAAATATTTGATCTGTATATAAATGTGAACCGGCTTAAATCAATCCATAAACATATCATTCTGTAAACTATACTCATTTGGATAGATAGAGAATGACACAAAATTATGCAAATCGATTTAAAGCAAATCTCAATCGGACACTCGTTGATTATTTGAAACCCAATAAACATGAAGTCGTTCGAATATATATGCCTGTATTTCTAAAAAAAGGAATTATTTCATTCCCTACTCAATTTTGTACGTTGTGCAAAAATTCCCGTCAATCTGACAAAACTTAGGAGTTTGGTCGTTATATCGACCCTTCTTCTCAACCTTAAATCGTATTCCAAATTTCAAGTTTTTAGGTCATCCATGCACATGTACTAAATTTGGTATAATTTCCCAAATTTAGTACATTTTAGTACTTTTCGGATACTTATAGTTCGAATTTCCAAAAAAAGATATTTTCCTACATCTATTCGACTATCCATCAGTAACCCTCGTTTCAAATTTGAGAGTTCGAGCTCTACCGATTCGCCAAAAATTTAGTACTTTTCGTACCGTTATAGTAAGAATTTCCAAAAATCCAGCATTATCTGACACCTTTGGACCAAGAGTGACCCTCACCTAAAATTTCAAGATTCTAGCTTCAGCCGTTTCGTCTGGGCGTTGATGAATCGTTAAATCAGTCAGTCAGTCAATCACTTTACTCATTTTTTAGTATAGATTACATTACGTTGGTAATGTCAGAACATAGAGCTACCATTCAAGACATTTTTAAGAGTTTATTAAAAAATTAAAACACATTTTCAGCTATTCCATTTGGAAATTGTCTTACATTTACTTTTGACACTCACTGTATAACTTACACTTTTGGCTAAAACAAACACATTTTTCTCGTACTTGTAGATCGTAACTTAAGTTACTAACATATAGCAGCCGTGGCCGTAACCGTACAAAATAAATGTCCACATACATACAAACAAACAGACAACCAGACATGTAAGTGTATACCAGTCAGACACAAGCAGACTGTGTGCCGGCTACTGAGACGTTGTATACAACGCTGATGTACAACACCTGCGTATTTATTTCGGTTAAACTTTAGCGCAGCAGGTGAATACGAACGTGTACGACAACGTCAGCAGCGCGACGCAAACAGCGAATTTATATCTCATCGCCAAAGGGGGGGAAATTTCGTTTGTTGTGGCGCTAAACAACATTAACAGCGCTGGCACAGCTCCGATAACGCTTGAACTTGGCAGTCAACGTCCAATGGCGTCAGGTATGCAGGCTGGCTGGATGGCTGGCAGTCAGACGGTATAGCTCTGTTTACGTTCGTTCGTATGAACGTACGTAGATTTGTAAAGTATTGTGTTTTTTTGCACACATTTCATATATCACCGCTTGTTGGTAGTAGGTTCATATCTAAGTTTCGGTTCAGACATAACTAACGTTTATTTACGCTCGAACACTGCAAGTGTTAGCAACAACTTGGCTAAAACGTCGCGAAATCAAACAACCAACCAACCAGCCGTCTAACTCGTGTCTAAGTGTCTGCGATTTTTTTCTTGAATTTTTTATTCGGTGAAAATTTGAATTTCTTCGTCTTCGTCTTTGCGTTGAATACAATACGGGAGTTCTTAAAGTGCGAAACTTTAAGTGAAGTTCAATTTTATTTCAAATAATATTTTTTTGAAGTACATAAGAAAAAAATCGAATTACAGGTGTGTGTTAATGTTTAAAGAAAAAAAAACATAAAGAAACCATGAAAATATGAATGACAACTTCTGTTAAATATTTAAAAAAGAAAAAATAATAAATTTTGTATAAATTTAAAAAAAATCCAACTTAAGTGTTATTTTGTTTCTCTATTTCAATTTTTTTAAGCCTTTACAAATACAGATAAATTTATCTAAATAAAAATGGTGGAAAAACTCGGTGAGTTTCGAAAAAATCTACAGATTTCGATACCTGCACTAACACCAGCTTCTTTCACTCAAACTTCCAAACTAATTGCATGCAAAACAATGTCCTATGCTTGAAAATATATTTTTTTGTAGTCCTGCTTTGTGTATAGAAAATGAAAAAAATTAATCATATGCATGCATATTTAAAAAAGTACCTTATTTTTTGTGACATTTTAGAAAATAAAAAAATTTCGGACTTAATTTTCTTAAAAAAAATAAATAATAAAAAAAATTTGAAGGCAAAATTGATTTTAATATCTATGTTTTTATTTTTGAACACCACAAGAATATCAAGAATGGGATTTTGTACACAACATCACCTGTTAAAATAGTTTAAAGAAAAAACTTAGCTTCCTGCTGATTCTGAAACAGGGAAAAGTGTTATTTAAAAATTTCGATATTTTTTCTGAAATTACACATATATTTTAAGTAAATATTCCTGGCCAAATATGGCTTAGATATTTGTTCATCATGTTTTGAAATCGGAATTTATAACATTAAATCTGAAATTAATTTGCAAAATTCGAATATACATAAAGTGAATTAATAACCGTGAAGATACATACAAATCTGCGTGTTTCAATATCAATTTATATTTTCACAATAAGATTTTTGTTTTAATTTTTAATAACTGTATTCAAGCGTTTCGTTGGTTATTCTCAAACACTTCAATTAAGATGTGAGATTTACATATTTATTTAAAATCAAATTATTTTGTAAATTAATTCAATATTTATTATTTAAATTTCTTATTTAAATTTAAATTAATTAATTTGAAATTCAAATTTTTGCAACTGTAATTCAATTAATCCGATACGTAAAAACAAATATTAACTATTGCGAATTTCAAATCAGGTAATTAATTAATTTGAATAACAAATATAATAGTTTTATTGCAAATGAACTAATTTATATTACAAATAATTTGCTTTTAATTAAAAATGTTAAATTCAAGTATTTATTGAAATGTTTGAGAATAACAAATGAAACTCTTAAATAAAATTATTATTTTAAAACAAAACTTTTATTCTCAAAATATAAATTAAAATTTAAACACACAGACTTGTATGTATTTCTATTTTTTATTTATAACTATTATTTATAATTTTAATTAATTGTTTTCCAAAATAATTCATTTGAAATTTATATTATTTCACTTGTAATACATCTAATTTCATCTGAAATTCAAAACATTTAATTCAAAATTAAATATATTATGTTTTAAAATAGGGTTGTAATAATAAAAATTAGAAATGGATTTATTTGAAATACAAATTGAATATTTTAATGATTCAAATTTCAAATAGAATATTTTGCAACACAAATGGAATACTCGAAATAATACTATTGCAATTAAAAACAAATTCAGTTGCAATTCCAATTACATTTGATTTGTAATTTGAGAATTCCAATCGACAATCAAATTGTTTCTGTTGAAATCTGAGGATTTCATTTGTAATTTTTAAAAATTCAACTGTTATTAAAATTCAATTTGTAATTCTATCAATTTTTCAATAATCAAATTATTTCAGTTTTAATTCGAAGGACTCCATGTAAAATTCCAAATTTGTAATTATTTGAATTACTATTGGAATTAGTTGAAATGCAAATTGAATTCATTTTAAATGAGATGATTTCAAATAGAATGTTATAAATCATGAATGGTTACTCGAAATACTAAAAATGTACTTCAAAATATTTCATTTGTAATTTCAATTACATTTGATTTGTACTTCAAGCATTCCATTTGAAGTTCAAATTGTTTTCTATTGAATTCAATTGTTATTAAAATTGCATTTGTAATTTAATTATTATTTTTTTATATTCAAATTATTTCATTTGTAATTCAAAGGAATTCAAATAGAATTCATTTCAAATAGAATAATTTAAATCACAAATGAAATAATCAAAATAATATTAAAATGTAGTGGAATTCAAATGAAATTCCCGAAATTATTTATGGTAAATTCCAATTGGAATTATTAAATTGGTTTGGGATTATTTTTTCGTCCAAAATGTCGATAAAACGGAGAGATAATCGATATTGACCGTCATGTTAACAGTTGTAACATTGCCGAGTAGCTAAAAATCGACAATATAACTGTTTTAAATCATTTAACCAAAGCTGGATTCAAAAAGAAGCTCGATTTTTGGTGCCCAACCAATTAACAAAAAAAAAGGATGGATCCAATTTCTATCTGCGAAGCCTTGGTAAACGCAATGAGATAGGCCCGTTTTTTTAAACGGATGGTGACTAGAGATGAGTAATGGATCACATACGATAACCCAACAAATGATCGGGGTCAAAGAGCGCTGAAGCACCTCAAACCAGGATTAATGGCCAAGTAGGTTCTGCTATGTATTTGGTGGGACTGGAAGGGGATTATTTATTATGAGTTGCTTCTATATGGCCAAAGGTAAATTCTGTGCCGTTTGAAGATAGTAATTGACCAGAAACGGCCAGAATTGGCCGAGAGGAGAGGTGTCGTGGTCCACCAGGACAACGCTAGGCCACACACATCTACAGTGACTCGCCAGAAACTTCGGGAGCTTGGTTGGGAAGTTTTAATGCATGCGCCATACTGTCCGGACTTGGCACCAAGTGATTATCATATTTTTCTTGCATTGCAAAATTTCTTTAATGATAATAAACTGGTATCTAGGGAGGATTGTGAAAATCGACTACTAGAGTTTTTTTGCAAATAGAGAGCAGGACTTCAATGAAAGAGGCATTATGAAGTTACCTTTAAATTGGCAACAAAATCGTAAATTCCGAAGCATGTTAAATAAAGTACTATAGTTCATATAAAAATAATGAATTTATTTTTCCCCAACCTAATATATTTGGGTATGCGAGGGCTACTATAAATATGTGTGGCCTAATTTGTTATTCTGCTTTATGTGCAGGAATAGAAATAAGTCATCCTGACTTTTTACGAATCCTCTACGAAAATTTCCCAATAAAATTGCCGCCAAATGTTCTGCTAAAATTTGGGGGGGGGGGGGGTGGAATATGACCTTGACCTAGTTCCTTTCTAGGTTAATACTTAACAGCATTTTCTTTCAAGTCTTTATAATTGTATCTAAAAAATGATTAAAAACGTCGTTTAGAATAATCGGATGGGATTTTTTCTAACATCCAGTATTGAGGTGGATATTAAATTGTAGAAACATTTATTGGTGGTCCGATCATGTAAAATTACAGCCATTTCGTAATGCTAATGCTACTTTGGCTGAAAAATACCGCTAGGCCCATAGTCTTCTTTATGTGGGGCTACATCGAAATTTCTTGTTAAGAAGATTTGCTATCCATGGAGAACATATAAGTTCCTTTCCAGAACGTAAAAGAATCTACTAATCTAACAAGTTTTGCAACTTTTTACTCGAAAACCGTTCCTGAACCCACAAAACTTTGAAAATTTAAATCAAATTTAAGAGAGCACAAAACAAAATGACTTTCTCTTTGTAAACTTTTTTACTCGAGAAATTTGGCCGAGTAAAAATGGTAAACAGGAATGCCTAATTCTGATTGGCTGTTATGTTGATTTTGAAGTATTGTCATCTAATTTTGGCATATTTATTAGATTTGCGTTCCCGAACTTTTCAAATTTTTTGTTTGTACTCTGAGAGCGATTTTGAAATGTTTCCCTTTTACTAGCTTTACTATAGTTACTAAAAATTATAAATATAGGTACATTTTTTCGTGTAGCTCCCATATAAGGGTACCCCCCATTTCGATATTTTGTCCACTTTTTCTGTTAGCCCCCATATTTGAGCGGTTTTGAGCGTATTTTCCGACCGAATTGACTGTATTTTAGTACTTTGACTTCTTATTACGTAGCAAATCTCTCTATTAAAAATTATAAATATAGGTCATTTTTTTCGGGTAGTCCTCAATTTTTGGCATTTTAGGGTTCTTGAATACATTTTTCATCGCAATTCGCTGTAATTTGATATTTTGTAGTCGTATTTGGTAACAAATCACCCTCCCAAAAATTTTTAATATTCGCACCTTGTTAGAGGTAGTCCCCATATAACCCCATTTTTATATTAAAATAGTTATCTGAATTGTTCCGCGTTAAACTTTCTCACTTGTTTATTCGGCAAATGCAATGTCATCAATGTACGGTATAGCTAACACCTTATAATGGAAGTTATAACAAGCTTTTCCAAAAAGTTTAATTTTTTCAGAACACTGTATCACTTTATTATTTGTTTATATATTATTAATAATTTCATAATTAGTTTATATTAATGTGCAATAAAATGTTTTGAGGTTAGTGTTCATAAAACACGAGTTTCAAACGTTTCCCCCTACTGTTTACTTATATATTTATTTATGTTAATTTCAATGCTAAAATATTATATATGTATAAATATACATAAATATACAAAAAAACCAGTGAGCGGAGCAGTATAGTCGGACGGGGCCGACCATACGATACCCTACACAACTACCACGAACTCTAACTTTCTGAGGATGTTTATTCCGAAAATGAGTAATATTTCGTGATATTTGCCCCCTCTTGTCCGATTAGAGGTTAACAACACCTCTTCCTTACTATTTTCGAATATTCAGTACAGTCCTTCTAATTACTTGTCCAGATTACCTTCACGGTGGGTTGTGTTGTGATTTTTGGATTATACTCTACTCGAAAACACACAAAAAATTATATTCTCCGTCCATTTCATCCCAAAATTTTAATCTGATCATCACCGAAAATTATAGGCGTTGTTCTTGACCATAACTGGAACCTCATGAACAATTTCAAAGCCATCACCGCGATATTTCTCCCTTTAATGTGGTAATGGATTACTATACAATATTTGAATACGTAAGCACATGTAAATATTTGACTGTAACTCCCACATCTGAGTAGATACATCACTATATTTGGTATCAATTTAAAGGCCAACCACTCCTCTTGGATATGCTATCAACTCCTGGGGTCTACATCCTCCAGGAGTAAA